AAGGGGGAGATTGATGAATCAAAGTGATGATGTGGATACAACTTATACTTGATGATTCCACGACAACATGGTCTTGATGATAACAAAGAGGAATGATTCAAAGACGAAGCAATATCCAAAAAGCAAATGTGAAAGCATGCACCAAGTCTCAAGCATCAATCCAAGTCCAGAATCTAAAATGGTATACTCATTTAGGACTTAGGATAAATATGTAAAGATGTATAGATACAAAGCATTGCATGAGCTCAAGGTCGTTCATCAATCATATATTTCAAAAGCATGCATCCTTAAAAAGAAAAGTCAAGACAAATGGTTTCATATGTACAATTTTGGTTTGGAAGAAGTACATATGTGATACAAACTTTTCTAGATAATTTCCATAACCAATAACATGCATTACACGTCATAAAAACCATTTGGAAAGAGTAGAAACTCAGAACTCGTACAAAAAGGCTGATGCTATGAAATATCCGGATATTTCACTTTGAATATCCGGATATCAGATATCCGGATATGTAACCAAGAATATCCGGATATGAGCCCAACAAATATCCGGATATGTACGGATTACAACGGCTATAAACGGCTAGAAACGACTAGTTTTCATAGGAGGTGTCATTATAAATACCCACATCAGTTGGGATGAACAGTACACGACCCTATAGCATTTATTGAAGCTTTATTACTCTTACTAGCCTTTTATTGCTCAAAAATTACTTACTTTAATCATTGCATACACTTGAGCTCATCTTTCCTTTGAAGTTATACATCTCTTAGTTCTTCAATTTGTTCAATCTGTACTTTGAGAGTACTTAGCCACTTCTAATCACCTCAATATAACTTCTTGATTTGAGAGGGGAGTGAACCCTATATTTGAGAGGTTACCAAATTTCTAAGAAAATTTGGAGTGAAAAAGTGTAAGGCATCAAGAGCCCGAAGTCTTGAAAAGTTGTAGTGGTTTGTCAAGCACCCTCAAGCTTGATAGTTAGTGAAAAGAATTGATCGAGCGGCTTCAGTCTGGACGTAGGTCACGGTATTGGTGACCGAACCAGGATACATCTAGTTTGCAATTTCTCTAACCTTAATCTCTTTATTTAAGTATTAAAATTGCATCTTAGATTGTCTTTATATATTTGCTTGCTTACTTTGTTGATCATTACACTTGCTTTTACAATTAGACATTTCCTTATTAAATCACTTTATTGAAGAAATAGTCTTTAAAACATCAAAGGAGGTACTTTGCGAAAAGATTTTGTAAAACTCAATTCACCCCCCCTCTTGAGTATTGAAGCCACCTGTCCAACAAATTCACACTTCCACATACATATAACCTTCACAAATTATGCAATTTAATTTTTGCACTCCAAACCCCACCAAGCACAATATGGCCGAACCTAGTGTGGTGGTTTAGGGGAATTTTTTTCAGACTTTCTACACATATTCATGCTTATTTTACATTATGACTTCATAAACAACACTAATTCATCATCAATTTCAATTTTCAAACTCAATAATTTCTCACCAAAAAGTGCTTATAATATTCAAAACTTAAATCATGACATTCAAACCATTGGAATGATGATTTCTTACCTCAAATCACTTATACAGGGCTTGGAGAAGAAAACTCAAGCTTAGCTCACTCAAAATCCACACTTTCACACTTGGATGAATAGTGCCACAAACTGTAGAGGAGGAAGAACTCTTCCCACAAGTAATTTCAGCCTAAACAAAGGGGTGGAATGGATTGCTTAGGCGATTTACAATCAATTTCGTGTAATGCACTTAAGGATTTGGTTGATTGTGGAGGGAGAAATCAAAGGAAAACTACATAGAAATCTCAAGCTCCTTCAATGGTGGAACTCGGCCAGGAGAGAGAGAAGAAGAAGAAACTGATGTGAATAGTGACCCGTGGACGAAACTTAAGTTTTTAATGACATGTGATCGTTTATCGGTTATTTTCCTCTCACTTAATTTCACTAAAATTGACCTGGCACTAACTTAAAGCTACAAATATATTTTTATTTTTCAGAACTCATTTATATTAATTTTTATTCCCAAAGGAATAGTATTTTCAATTCACAGTATGGTTTCTGCACTATTTTTTATGAAATGCACTGTGAATTACTAACTGTGCACTGTTTACACACAAAATTGTAAAACTTATAAACTTAACACTTTTGGTCTAAACATGACTTACTTGGCATATATTGGGCTTTCTTATTCTTATTACATCAATTATTTAGTTCTGGATTCTACCGATTGCTTAGGAATACAATATGTGAATATAACAATAATTTATAAGGTAGAGATATAAGCCTAAGCTCAATCAGAAGTTACCATGAATGTATCTCAAGTGGAGGATTGTGAATCAAGGGAAAAGGTGTTAGGAGTGATTTTAGCAGCGTAACAGCTCTATAATAGGTGTGCAAAAAGTGCTTCCTCTATTATTGAAGAAGATAAATATGAGTGGAGAAAATCCTTCAATCATGAAGGAGAGAATGAGATCATTTTGTCTTTATAGGTCCCCTTATACATATTACATAAGAGTTAAGACAAACACTCTCACTTAATGCATGAGCCGTGGGGTGTGTTTTCAAGATAACGAGGTTTATTATTATGTATCACGCGTGGGATTTATCAGCCACCACATTGGATTGGGCCTGATTGGGAATGCTCGCAGATGGAGTGCCAAAAAAAAAACCCAAAGTCATCGAATTGGTACCTGGGAACTTCGCATCAACGAACTCCTGCGTTCTGCCCGGCTTAACACTAATGGCCTCAGTCTTTTGCAAATCGCGAATAAATCTTTGGTGCTACTGTTGCACCTAAATTCAGTACATCCCATCAATGAGAGCATTACACATCAGAGGAGAGAGAAAAAATTTGGCAGAAAAAAGAAAATTTTGGCTGACATGTCATATTTTTATTGGTGGGATACACTGAATCTTTGGTGCAACAGTAGTACCAAAGATTTATTCGCAAATCGCAATGACTCCTTAACTAGCATATGCACAATGTCTCGAGGGTCTCTACTGTCTTTTGCAGTTCATTTAGCTTGTTACTAGACATGGCTTGGGCCTGGTCAATGAAACAAAAAATGACACTCATTTTGTTGAGTCTCATTTGTAATCTTTTTGTACCTTCATTTTTCTTGATCTCTCAAAATTCTTCTATGTTGTGGTGACTTCGGAGATGGTAGTACAAGGGGTCAAGGTTATAAATTTTCTTCTTGATTCCAAATAATGGTTCCTCCTCCTTTTCTTTATCAGCCATTTTTTTTCCTTATTTTTTTGATACATTATCGGCCATGATTTCTTGGGTCTTCACCCATTTTGTCAGCATTTTTTTTGAGTTACGACATGGTGGTATACAAATTAGTCCCTTCGCTTTCACTTTGGGCTGACTCATCAAAATGCTCTGTCCCATTTTCTCTCATCCACTCCTTCACGAAGTAGCGTATTTCATCAAATCCCTCCAATTTTCGGTTGATTTGGCTGGTTTCTTTTATAAGCCCTTCGACAAATTTCTCCTCCACTCTCACTTGGATTGAACCCATGTTGATCAGGATATGACATGTCGAAGCACTTTAATGCAACCCCGAAATTGGATCTCAACACACAACAAAACAAAGAAAGCAGAAGAGAGGAAAATATAAAGGGATAATCGTTTGTCATGTAACATGACACCATTTGTGTCATGTTACAGACACAAAAATACTGTGGGCCCCATTGTACAGAAAAAAAGCAAAAAAAGTTGAAGTGGGTCCCACGCTAAAATCAGTCAATAGGAAAATGGGATTTTTTCTATTATATAACACTTGTATTTTCCAAATATAAATAGATGAAGGGAAAACTAACATTTTATTAACGGTGAAACAATAGGTACAAAAAAAAGGAATCGAAATTGACTCTAATTGATGGTTATTGCAAAAAAATAAAAATAAAAAATAACTTGCGTTGAAAATTGTTTCCTTTAAGGATTAGTGAAAGAATAAATATTCAAAGATCCAAATTTGCATAATCATAAATTCGATGACATTTCTACACGTACAATAGTGGGGAAAAGTACAACTCTTCCCGGCAAATTGTAATGATCATCCTTTTTCTCCAAGAAGGACCGCTAAGCATTTTTTTTTTTTAAGATATTTAAATCAAGTTATAGCATCATGACTAACCTGGTTCGGGTAGGTAGTGGTGATAAGCAATTTTTTTTTTTTTTTTAGAGTTACCCAACCCTAATTACTTCTTTGAGGCGAGTTGGCTCCCTCCGGCACAAGCTTCGACTCTTTGAACCGACTATGGGACTAATCCGGAGTGCGATAGCCGATCATTGCTTCACAATCATTAGCTCCACCGACTGTCATTTCCGATACTAAAAGTCCAATTTAAAATTCTTTAATGTCATTGGTCTCGGGATCATAATTACTCGTCCTTAATTTCATCGCTTCACTTTATTTTTGCCGAAGTCAATAACTTATAATATCTCCCAACTTAGGAGTTGATGGTGGTTCGTACCCTATGTTCTCTATGACCTTTGGTATCGAATACATCCAAACTTCTCGTATTAGTGAGTCTCATAACGTCTCTCTAAATCTTCAGAATAATATTTGTAAATCATAGGAGCTTCATCTTAGACGGCAATTAGATGACGCGATTACTGAATACCCAAATTCCTTCTGCGCGAAAAAAAGACCTAGTTACGCTGGAAGAAAAAAAAAAGCGGATATACACGAGAGGCTTAAGCGAAAGTATCTTGCATACGCATATCTAGGCGGAATGAAATTTACCCTAAACTCAAAACATTATACGGTTCAGTTTTATTCACACCACACGAGGGAAAATAGTCGTAGTTAAAAATGATAAAAAGAGCACGCCATGTATTACGAATTTCCGATGACGGGACAACACTCTAGGAGTCTAGGTGGACCTTGGCTGTGACACCATTCCACCAAAGAAGAAAGAGGTCGTTCTCTCTCATTATGAAATGTATATTGTTCACATTTTTTTTTTTGATACATGTTCACATTTTTTTCCAAATCTACAGAGTTAGCCCGTTAGGATTTTGCTCCAAAACGCCCAAATGCTCAACAACATGAGGGCTACCGTTAAAAGTCTTTGCGTAGAAAATTAAATTAGATACAAAGTCATGGAGGGGGTGAACTATTTGGACCTCGCCTTCCAAGACCCAATCTGCGCAGCCGCAGAGTTTTGAAATTCTAACCTAAGAAAACAAAATAATATATATGAAACAGACATTTGTTCCAAGACGGTGCCGTGATGAACTGGTTAGTCAAAACTTGAAGAGCGACTCCATCTGCCCTGCAAATAATCCTCCAATGAGACATTCTGCTCAGTGCTACTGATAGAAACTGCATCATCCTCCAAGTCCAGCAAAGCAAGGTTCAGGTGGGACTGAATATTAGTTGGAGCTGGTTCCTCATCAAATCCATCAAGTTCGTGTGGAGCACTAACTTCTTGTTCTGCCCATCCTGTCACTTCTTCATCACCATGCAGAAGTTTCAATATCTGCATTATTGAGGAAACCTCACTGGTATTGAGAAGAACATAAAAGGCAGGGCAAATGGAGTGGAGTAAATTTGCACAGGCAAAAGACTTACAAGGCTGATTTGGGGACGCAATCTTGGTGCCCGTCTAATGCAGAGAGTAGCTGCCAAAACCATTCTCTTCATCTGGCAATGGTCGTATTCACTGCCCAGGCTTGGATCAAGCAACTGGAAAAACTTCCCACCTTTCAAAATTGTTGTTGCCTGGACATGATCAATTAGTCACATTGACTTCTAATTCTTAGGATACAGCACTTGTAGGATGCTCTGTTCTTATATTGGTACATGTTTCATTTATTTTCATATAGTGTCATAACAATCTAAGATGCTGAATTTTAAACACTGAGAAAAGAACTTACCCACATAACAAGGCTCTCCTGGCCCTTTGGACACTCATTGTTAATGGGCTTCCTATTTGAGAGAAGCTCAAGGAGTACAACACCAAAAGCATATACATCAATTTTGTCAGTCACTCTACCATGCATAAAGTATTCAGGAGCTAGGTACCTGCCAGATAAAACCTGTTCAGAGCAAATCTTCGTAAAGGTAAACAGGCCAAAGGAGGAATAAGAGGGAATGCTACTCACCCAAAAGTTCCGGCCACATCACTACAAGTAATATGGGAAGAAGAAGAACTCCAACTAGCCAGTCCAAAATCTGAGAGCTGAAGAAATAAACACAGGATTGAAGGATAGGGATAAACGAAATCAAGGGCACCAAATTTCAAAGGGTAACACCACCTAACCAAGTAAAGGGAGAAATATATTACAGCACCTGAGGCTCAAAATCATCCAAAAGAAGAATATTCGAAGATTTCACATCTCTATGGATCACAGCCTGTGCACAGCCATTATGCAGATAGTCCAATGCCTCAGCTACACCCACAGCCACCCGGTACCTCTCTTGCCAACCAAATGCATTACAGTCCTTCTTATTGCCTTTGCCAAAAAGCACAAGTAACAAAGTCAAATTAGAGAATGTAAAGATTTATGTGATCCCTAGCAGACAAGGCCAAATAAATATCTACCATGAAGATTTTCTTCTAGGCTTCCCCTTGATAAAAAATCATAAACCAGTAGTAAATGGTTGCCCTCTAAACAAAAGCCAGAAAGAGATATTATGTTCTTGTGATGCAAAGTTGTAATGATCTCAATTTCCTGAACAAACTCTTTTAGCACATCTTCAGATGGCTTCAAAATTTTCACAGCCAATTCCTTTCCATCTGGAAGACATCCTCTATAAACATAACTACTACCACCTTTGCCAACCAAATTTTCTGAAAATACAATAAATAAAAAACGTATCAGAAGATATCCCAAGCAAGTAAGCATAATAAAAACTGGGAAACAAAAGTTGTAGTGATGAAAGCTAACCGGGTGAGAAGTTAGCGGTTGCAGATACAAGTTCCTGCAAACTATATAATCTACATGAAGATGAGTACTTCTCTTGTAAGACCAACAATTCTTCAGGAAGGTTACTCAAGTCACAGCAAAGGGCTAGAGGAGGAAAGATGGTATCAGATCCAAATGGCACAATGGCACCACTCTCCCCATTCAGGGTGGAATCATCATTCTGCTCAACAGTAATTTGTTTATGATCTGGATGGACTACAGCTGAAAAATGCCGGTCGGGCTGTCGTAATGGCCGATGAAAAACAAATGTATTTTTCAGGAAAGCCTTGGGAGTATGCTTTCTGGGGTGAAATACCTGGCGAAGGAGTGACCAACCAGGTTTTGACTGTTTTGAATCACACACCACAACTGAATAACCAGGATCATCATCATGTTTTTGAAATGGTACCATAGCAAGGGGATTTTCCTTTTCAAGATCATCAGGGAACCCTTGCTTAAATTCAGTATCAGAAGTCTCTTGCAGTGCACATCTTTCACAATTCTTCATATTTTTATTTATATAAGCCACCAACGATTTTGGTGATAAACTTGATCCTTCATGTAGTAATTTTTCTGCCATGACAGTAACGGTCTATATTATTCTCAAATATTTTCTCTTAGCAAACATTCAACAAACTGACCTAACAAAAAATAAAATAAAAAAAATGCAAAACACATGACCATTGACCAAAACTGAAAGCAGCAATGCCCTTGCATCAAAATAATTACTAACTAAAGAAAAGAAATTCAAACCTTGATCAATATTATTATTACATATTGTGGTAGCTTCTCTATGGAATGCAGTTTTGCCATTATCAACAGCGAAGACAGAGATACACTTAGGCAATTTCTTGGCGCAATACTTGGCAACCGATGTCGACGAACGGATTGGGTGATGAGATTTAGAAGTTCCTAGAATCACCGTCGCAACGCCAAACGATTTCGCTTCTTGTACCAGAAGCTTCCGAACCGAAGCACCTCTACATACTTTAAGCCTGAGATCAACCTGGACAACACAAATTTTTCCCATGATTCGGTTTTCAATTTGCGTATTAAACACTCTCATCAAGAAACTAAAAATTGCGGTAACGGCTCATTTAATTTTTCTCTTGTTAAACGTAACCGAACCTGCTTTAAATTGCAGAAGCCTTCGTATACCGCGAGAACAGAATCAAATGTCTTCACCAGAGATAGCAGCGATGATGTACCTTCTGCTCCAAAAAAATTCCATATTCTAGATTAAGCATAATGTTCCAAACACAAGCCAAAAAATCAAAGCACATAGAGAGAGAGAGAGAGAGAGAAACCAGTGATGGTGTCGAGAACGTGAAGCGCAATGACAAGGTCGCCAGGCTCAGCCACCTTGACGAGAGCCCACGTCAGCAATTCCCGGCTCCGAGGATCTAATTTTACGCCGACCAACACCGTCCGGCCACCGCCTCCGTCGCCAATTAACTTCATCGGAAAATTCACTTTTCTTTCTCTCTCTCTCTCTCTCTCTCTCTCTCTCAGGTGTTGGTTGGTGCTGTGCTTTGTGTTGGGAATTGCGAGAGAGAACGAATCGTGCTCGAGGAACGTAAAGTGGAACTGTCTTTTGGGGAAATGTTACGGTGCTTCTCGGCTTGGCTTTGGAGATTACATTACAAGATTCGGTTATCGCGCTTCTCTCTTTTGTTCTGTGGGATTAATATATTTAATATGTTCAATCACATCAATATCATCATTAATCAATTATCAATCTCATAATGCACCGTCGCTGACGTGTCAAATGCTAAATCGCCACAACAGTGATAGAATACTGTAGAAGTGTACCCCTTGAACAGGACAACTTTGAAAGGAAAATAATACATACTCAGTTTTATGTTTTAATTGATAACTGTATTGAGACAATTTATTAACATCAAAAGATCTAGTCGTTATGTTTTTTAATGAGAAATTAATGTTGGTAATGAAAATAATTTTTTCCTTTTCTTCATTTTAGGAACATAATAATTTAAAAATTATGAACTTGCCATTGAAGTTGATCACGATTTTAAGCACTTTTGACGTGACAGTGATCCTTCAATAAAAATTATAAATAATTAAAATTTTCACTCATAAATAACTATATTAAAAGGATTTGGTCTTTGTCATTTTAAATGACATAAGTTATGTCATTTTAGGAGAGAGATAGACACATAAAAACAGAAATCGTGGGAGAGAGAAAGTGGATGATTTTTTTAATTTAAAATTCAAATTTTCTGTGTCTGTATCTCTCTTAAAATGACATAACTTTCTGTCATTTAAAATGACAAACACTTTTCCCATATTAAAATGATATATCATGAATAGTTGATATTTTTTCACATAAAATAATTGTTAAAATCAGAATTAAAAGTATTAAAAGTAAATTGTTATATCAAAATAGAATTATCGCATGAATAGAATTCTTATATCAAAATATTTACCAAAAAAAGGAAATTGTTATCAGAATTTGTGTTTTAAAAGTATTAAAAAAATTATTGAAAAAAAAAAAACATTATTGAGTCTTTTTTTTCTTTGAATAAATTCAAAGGTATCCTCCAGCCGTAACCGAAGACTAATCATCATCGAGCACTATCAGATCCTTTCGGGAGGGGCTCTCCCAAATTCTTTTTTTCTATTCCCAGAGCTCGAACTCGAGACTTCTGGTTAAGGAGCTCAGGCTCCTTACCACCTATGCTAAAAGAGTTTGTTACATTATTGAGTTTTAGTCTTTAGATCCATGGTATTAATAAACGTACGGAATAGAGTTTGCCCTTTACTTGGCATATAACATGTTCATTATGAAGGTTGGCTAAGATATTGTGTGGCTAATAATCTCAAATGATTAAATAAAATGAAAATTAGTTTGATATATAATGATTCTAATTAGAGGTCAAGTCATTCAAAGGAAACTTTAATGCGGGGTCCATGTTTACTTAGAATGATCCTGCTTCAATATTGTCCATTTATGCATACCGTTGAAGGTTAAATAATGAATGAAAAATGATGGTGACACATTTTTATATTTTTTTTATTACGATTAATAGTACATAAGTTTGTGATTGGGAACGTGCGTCATTTAGTTAACTTATTAATAATTAATTATTAATTTATCAATCAAATAACATATTTTTTAGCTTTATACATTATTAATTATTAAAAAATTAGTGTGAAAAAACAGTTTGTGAAAAGTCACTGTCGTTTAATGAATTGGGAATGGCTCCACACTAAATTTTGGGGTATAATACAAAGATCTGTGATATAATGTTCTCGTTTTCATAGTATCAATTGTTGTCGTGTACATGTTTCCTCTTAATTTATTTTTTGTAATAAGTTTCCTCTTAATTTAATCGACACATGCTATGGTGCACGTCCTTGTGTGTGTGTATGTGTGTGTGTGTTTTTTTTTTGTTTCTCTGTCTCTCAAAGGGCGCTTGAATTATATGATTTCAGAAAATTATAAAATTATAATAGAGATAAAAAAAATGACATCATTCAACAAAATTAATGGAAAATTCAATTTAATTCACTAAAGCTATCACTCTATTAAATTAGGTAACTCTGCGTGGGAGATCCTCCCCAAGATTCCCTAATTTGATCATATCAACATCTTTTAATTTCAGAAATCATTGTCCAAAACCTGTGTGAAAACACTATAGTCTTCACTAAAATAGAAGAAACATCATTAAAAAAAAAAAAACTATAAATTATAGCCAAAGAATTACGTGCATATCAAGAAATGGGGCGTGGGAAAAATGATGAGTGGATGCTAATTAAAAAGAATATACCATTCCAATTTGAGGAGAGGGTACTCACTAAAAGAAAGGGCTGAAAACTTTACTTGCCATTAGTTTTTATGTTAATAGAAGAAGGGACCCACATGCAATACTAGCCGTTCGAAAAGCAAATCAAAGGCATATAATTGTGTGGGAAACCAAGGATTGCTTGTGCAGTCAGAGATACCCTGAAAATCAAAAGTTTGATTCTTTTTCCCACTCTAAGCAACTTTGAGTATTCGATTTTAATTATGCTATTTTAGCCGTTGCTAGGAAGTAGGAATGAGTTTAGTAACTCAAAACTTTTTTTTATTTACAAGTATAAATCCTCCTATATCTGGCTATCAATGGGCACCACTAATTCAGATTTGAGTCGAACAAAATCATAAACAATCGTGACCATTTGATTATCATATAAAAAAATTAATTTAATTCAAAAGCTTAAACAAATTAATATGTGATAACAATAAACTTTAAAGATAAATAAAATTATATTACTTTTGACTATCTCTTCGTGAACTCATCATTAAAAAACTTATTTTTAATAAATATAAAGTAAGGAGAAAATATTATCTTTTTAAATAGTGGTGGAGCCAGAAGAAAAGTTCAACCAGTGTCAAAAGATCCATTAGGTAGAATTTAGCTAGTGTCAAGGTTGCATTATTCTTAAAAATTTAACTAATATTAAGGTTGCACCATTATTTTTGAAGAAAATATATATCATTTTTTAAAATTAGTCGGTGCCAAGGCACCAGCTGACATGCAAGTGGCTCTGCCACTACTTTAAAAGAATGGTCGTTTTAGTTAAAATTAGTGTATTTTTATTTAAAATTTAAATTAAAAAAATCACCAACTTCCTCATAATTTTCATTTTGTATATCTTTCTTTCACTAAAAATAACACAATTCTATGTCCTTTAAAAGGACTAGAGGTGGCAAAGTGGGCGGTCTGTCCCGTCCCACCATCAACCCGTCAAAAAAGAGCCAGTCAGCCAGCCTCGTTTTTGAAGGTGGGCTAAAAAACTCGGTCCGCCGGCTCGAGCCTATTTTACACTGATCCGCCTCGACCTGTCCATCCCTGCCATCAACCCGCAAAAAAATGAGTCCGCCTCGCTTTTGAGAGTGGTAATAAAACTTAGCCTGCGTCGTTCTGTTTGGCGAGCGGGGCAGGTCGACCTGCCGAGCCAAGTCCGTTTTGCCGGCCCTAAAAAGGACAAACACCAAACTCATATCACAATTTACAATGATAGCTTAATTATAACTTTGTAAATGTATCTTCCTTTACCTAATAGGTGTGACTTAGTTAGCAACACAAGCTGAGTAGGTCGGGAAAGAACTTGTGTTTAATTTCCATTAAACATATTTTTGGGAAAGACGAGGATATGTGAAGATAACTGGAAGACTGACTCGCCTCAAAAAAGTAATTGGGGTCGATATACCAAAAAATAAAATATTAATGTTTACAATGTTAAATATTTTATTATTAAATTAGTTCTTTAAAATTTTTAAATGTCATCATATTCATACTTATTAAGTATTAAATTAGTAATATTAAAACAAAACAAGATTATATTCATTTATTATTTTTTAAGAATATAATTTCATAATATTTTTTTAAAGAAAATTAATATAGTAACACTTGAATCTTTAAAGATTAATTTAAGTTTTTATTCTAATAAAAAAAATGATCATAATGATGGTAGGCATGTGCAAAAAGCTAATTCATTATATTAATAAATAAATTGTCCTTTTATGCATCGTAGGGTTATAGCATAGAAATGTCGATGCTGCTTCTTCTTTTTTGTTACAACTCAAGCCACTAAAGAGAATTAGGTGAAATAACTTTATAGCTTAACTGTCAAATTGAACGTCTATATTTATTTAAGGTCAAGCTTCCAAAATTGAGGTCTGTAAAGGCTTGCATCAACCAAATCTCAATAAAAAATCCGATTGTTATAACCCAATCACATTGAGGAACCATAGAGATTTAGTTCATAATTTAAGTATCACATTCATCTTTCATATTTGCTCAATGTGCTACATAATACATGTTACACTACAATGTTTGAAAATTATTATTATTATAAATTTTAACATGACTCTATTATAATATTATAACTGTTCACACAACATTCGACGGTCATGCTTTACAATAATTATTCTTTTTAATTGGCATATACTTTCACGTCCCATAGTCAAGATTCATTATACATGTAAATACAAAATAATTACAGACTGATAAATAGTTTTTGAATTTCTAGCCAAATTTTATCATTGAACGATAGCTTTGGATCATTCACATCAACTTTATAAAAATATCAATCCAAATTACAAAAATAGATTTCCCAGGCGCCATGTAATTATTTGCATCCAAATATTTCAAACCTATTCCTGGATTCGGATGTGTTTATCCTTTTCTTCCCTTTCTTATGCTAAGAGAGACGAGTTTACTATTAAATACAGTGATATTAAACTCAAACCGGATTGACAGGTCCAATCGGTTTAACTGGGAACCGGACCAGTTGAGGGTTATTGGACCGGATCTGCAATTAAATCAGAAAAAAACCAAGTCCAAACGGCATTGACCCAATACCAATTTTCGAGTTGAATCGATTTTTTGAATTTTAATACTAAAATACGTTAAATTTGCTAGAAGGGTAGTCAAATATATGCTCAACCAGTACACAAAAGTATATTTTTTTATCATGATACAAATATTATTACAGTTATTATATATTAATAGGTTTTATAATTCTCATTTAACATGAGAATCAAAATCTTCCTACACACTCTTTGATTTTCGTGCTGACGTGGGTCCTACACATAATTTTTTCTAACATATGGATCCCACATGTT